ACTTTTTACAATTTGTGCTCTTTAGAGGTGCTTGCTGAACCAATAGCTGATAGCATCATTGAAAGAGTTTCATTCCTGGTCTTAGTGCTATTAGAAAATAAATCTATATTTTGTAGAAATAATTGTGCAAATTTTTCTTCAGTTAAAATATTAACAGTTACAAATTTTTGTAGTTGGCTATTATGGGAAAGAGGTAAGAACACTACTGGTAACTTCATTATTTTAACTGCTTTAATGATGTCAGTAGAACTACTACATATAACTTTAAATAATGTAGAGGGAAGAAAGTAAGACTGGTCTATTTGTAGCCATTGACAAATTGAAGACGAAAAAAATAATTCCTCTTGAGATACCAAATGATATAATGAAGATACTAAACTTTCCCATGGAAACCTCATCTGAAGGTTGGAAGCCAGTGGCCATAGCATGTGAAACTCATAGGATAAAAGTCTTCCTAAGCAGTGCATTGCTTGCAAACTTTTTAACAAATTGCAATATGCTTGAGCTATGATAGTTGTCATTAGTTGTTTATTCCAGTATTCCCTTTCATCAGAAGCCATTGCAGATGATGCTCCAGCCCATATGCCACTTCTGTTACTCATAACAGCAAAGTTAGCAGTAACATGCACAGGTAAGCCAGTAGCAGGAACTGATAATGGTAGAAAACAAAATGCATTCCCTTCTATTGCTTCACACAAAAATGAAGATTGTTTCTTAACTAACTTGCAAGCTACAGATGCAACTGCTTGCTTATAGGCACCATCTTGTGATTTCAGCCGTTGCTCTTGATTTGATAGTAGCCAATACTCTGTAGATTTAGTACTCGATTGTGTAACACATACTTTGACATTCTCAGTTTCATCGTTAATGCACTCAATGGACAGATGTTTAATGATCGGCCTATCTTCTTGTCGTGAGCTAAATGTGATGCGCTTAACATTCTGTAAGAAAAGCAATAATTTAGAACCGTTTGACTCTAAATCCTTTTTAATCATTTGAATAAGATGATTATTGTAGATAGTGGAAGAAATCTGACTCGGATGTGTTCTAAATGGTAGCCTAAATATAGTACCATTGTAAGATGCTGAAGAATCAAAACCAAACAAGCCCTGGTATGGAGCTAATTGCTGTGATTTGGCAAGAAATTTTGATTGAAACTTTAGTTTTTTGCCAGGCCTGTTCTCATTTTGCACCACGCCTTTTAAATGTTTCAATGTAGGATCAAATATGTAAAGCCATTCTCCACTAACAAAAGAAGGTACATCAGTGATGTGGTACACAGAACAAAATCCAACTCCAAATTTTCCAATCTTTAATGGTTGGTTAGCTTTTGTAGCACCAGCGAGTTTTGTGATGTTTTCAAAGTCCTCTTTTGTGAATGTGCTGTTATTGTGGACTATCAATGCTGGCCCATGGCTCTCAGCCATTCCTTCTAACACTAGATTAAGGCTTGAATGAGTGCGGGTATCATGTAAAATATTAACTTCAGTTGCCCCAGCATCATCAGCATTTTGTATCATCTCCTTTATGATAGTTAATCCATCTTTATATTCTCTCAATATATTGCTGAGTCGTGTTGTTAGTGGTTCATGTTGACCAGCGTCTTCAAAGACATCTTCAGTAATATCAAGCTGATCACTGAGTGGGGAAAGGTCCAGTTTAGAAGACAGGTAAGACACTTTAGGATGTATAAGATTATACTTTTCATCTGACGTTCGTGCAATGCCACGTAACATTTCATTATCAGTGTAAGCTACATCATCAATAGGGATTAACTGAGGATATGATAGGTCGCTTTCGACTGGTACTAGAATATTAGCTTTACTCACTCTACCAGTGTTATCTGCTATCCAGTCCAATACAGCTCTAACTTTTGACCATGCTTCATCTTCTTTGAGCTCAGAACTATCTCTGACAGATTGAAGAACGGAAAGAATCTGCTCAGTTGTTACATTGTGGGGAACACCACATCTTGAAAAAAGTGAAGAAAACACTCTCAAATTTTGAGGTAAAACAAAAATGAAAGGTTCTAAATTTAATAAAAATGAAGGATTAGCTGCAATAGCTGCTTGGCCTGAATCAATGAATGTCAATAAATTTTCGATCCATAACCATTTACTTGAGGAAAATTGTGCTGGATTACAATATTGAATATTATTTTGTAAAAACTCATATGTCATGATTGAAATTTTTTCTAGCATGCTCTTAGGTATAGAATCTTTATTTTCAATGACATGTTTGAAATGAGAGATAACAGCAGAAACTACATTTTTTGCTGAGCAACAAAACTGCTGAGCTAGCTCTCTGGGAACACTCTCAATAAAAACAGCTTCTGAGCCAACAATTAAACTGTGTGGTACATGTTGCCCTGGTGCTGCAGTAAGATCTTGTGACAGCAATATGAGAGGATTAGCTATACTAAATGAGGCTAAGAATGAAGGATACTGTGATCCCTTCCACACTAAACAGGAAGGATATTGGCTTGGAGGGCTGCTTGCTATTGGTAGCCAGCAGAACTGTTCAGCTTGCTTTCTTAACACTGTCAATAACGTGTCACGTGCATTTAGGTAGGCATTTAATAGGCTAGGGTTATCTAACAAATATTTCAGAGCTGCTTTTAATCTCAGATATCTATTTTCATCAGCAAAAACTATGTTTTGGTACCTACGCAAAGTAACTCTAACAGTTGATATAATTTGAAAAAGTTCCCTAGCATCAACTGATGCTTTTAAGCCACACTGTCTCAGAATTCCTAAGTGAGACCAATCGCTGGAAGCAGGAAACTTGCACTCACCAAGAAAAAGCTGTTTTAAAATCAATACATCAGGATCAAAGAGATTACAAGGAGCTTCAAGCTGTGTGGGCAATAAAACTTCAACAAATCGTAAGTCTTTCATTTCTGCTATCAGTCTATGAGAGGCCTGTCTGTATTCTGAACTGTAAAAATTATCAAGAACACTTTTCATAAATGGAACTATATTACTACTAGCAAACTGCCTGTTCCTTATCTGCTTGAATGCTACGTTCAAAAGATACTCTGTTTCTGTCATAAAGTAAACATGGC